AACAACTTATTCTGTGTTGTTCTAATAAAAACCATTGTTTTTGATATGCATATATTTTAATTTTATTCTTTGTTAAAATGTGTACCTAGAATACTGAAATCTTTCAGATCAGCTAGCAATACCTTTATAACTTATATAGCCAAGTGTTCTAACTATTTTTGTTCAGATTAAACAAACAATGAGTAAAATATTAGATAACATTTTTTCAAAAAATATGAGCTAGCTTGCCTGTTTTCAAAGCATAAAAAGCAATAAAATAAAGCAAAAGTACTTTTTTTTATTTAAAACCTTTGGAATGCACAGCTTAATGTTTTCCACGAAATATTACGAAGTCTTCGTTCATTAAAATGTTGTTTTATCAGCTTTAAAACCAGATAAATCCTCGAAACACTCCTGATATATGTCGCCATATTGATTTTCTGCGCGCATGCTCAGACTCAGACAAATTACCTACCTGTTTGCACCATAGATATAGGAGACCTAGATTGCTGACTCGGCTCAACCGGCGTGACATATTTTGAAAATCCAAGATGGCGGCTCAACCGGGCAAAAATCACAGAGCGAGATAGGGAAAAACCATGTTTTTTGCATTTTGCGTCGTCCTAAAGCTTCCGATCGCGTTCTATCACTTTATTTTGGAAAAAACTAACTAGTGTGAAGGTTTTGGATGAAAATTTGTACAATCAGTACAATTTTATACCATGGTTAATACAAATTACGATTCAACCGGGCAAGATTGGGCAGGCCTGCAGTTTCGCGCGGTTTTCGTCTTTAGTTTCTTCCTGTGTATTCCTTCAGTCTTTTACGAGTTTTTCTCAAGTAATATTATATATTTCTAACTATTCCAAAAGCTATTGCTGTTTATTTTGTTCTTTCATTGTTATTTCGACCAAAATACAGTATTTTCATCTGAAAATTCTAGGGCTTCTATTCCATCTGGGTTTTTTTTATCGAAAAGAATGCTTGAAAGTCGGCCAGAATCGTGTTCAGTGTATTACTACAAGACAGACGTGGGATGTTATTCGATTTTTCCTTCCATAAGTAAGTCTATGAAACACACACACATCACATATTTGTACACTATAAGTCTATAACTTACATCATATAAACAAAATAAAAAGAATTTGTTTTGTAAATACTGTAATGACAACGTCACAACAAATGTAGTTTTGAGTTTGGCAGCTACAATATAAAACTATTTACAGTTTTAATAAAAGAATATTAGACCAAAAAAGAACTTCTTGTTTTGATGTCTGTGTTAGGAGAGTCTCTCTCTATATATGCATGTTGACAACAACTTTCCTTGTCCTGTTCAAAGTCAAAAATGTTTTAGTTTTGTTCACATCAGTGAACCAAAAATACATCTTTCCCTTTGCACTATTGGATTTCCTATAACCAATCCCAGCCTGCTAAAAAATGAAATGGGCAGACTCAATGCCAATCAAATATTCATTCTTGTGTGAGAAACACTTCACACCGGATGATTATACTTCACACCAATGATTATATTAATCCATGGTGTTGCAAGGTGCCCTACTTTATTATTTTACTCTGTCTAACGCCAGACAATTTTACTCATCAAGAGGAGAGCAGTGGCACTTAATGGGTTAACTGGCCTACCTGCAAATGTGTATAGTTAACCCATTGAGTCGTTTTGTGCCCTACTTAATTATTTTACTCTGGCTACGCCAGACAATTCTACTCGTAAGGGGAGAGTGCTGATGCTTGGGTCAGCTGCTCAAGGGGAGAGTGTCCGAAGGGAAGAATGCCGACTGCAGAGAGCAATCAATAAAATGCCAATCCAAGAAATATCTAAACGAAGATGCCGTCCCATCTATTTTTGATTATCAATGATGAATCAATCAGGTTTCTTGGAGAGAACTAGATACTAACTGTGAAGGTTTTTGATGCATACCAGACACATTAGGCAGTTTCTTCAAACTAGTTTCCATTGAAAACTTTCGTTGTCACTAGTTCTCTCTACAAACCTGATTGATTCATCACTTTTCACTGTCCAGGCCCTATAGACTTGAGATCCCTTGACATCTGCAGCAGCAAGGAGGTTGTCAAAGTCACACTAAACAGAGCATCAGAATTTTCGCACCAGCAGACCAAATAAATCAAGTAAAATAGGCTTTAACTTCAAAATACTTCACAGAATTATTCCTTGTTAAATATCCCAACCGAGATCCTCGAGAAAAAAGCACCCAAAGAACCAAAACCTTTATTTTCTGCAACAAAATGTCTCGAACTGCTCAACCGACCATTGTGACGATTTCAGAAAACATTTAGCGATCGATTATTTCGTCTTTATTAAACTTAAATTGCACAAATATTCATCCAAAACCTTCACACCAGTTAGTTCTTTCCAAAATAAAGTGATATAACGGGATCGGAAGCTGTAGGACGACGCAAAATGCAAAAAACATGGTTTTTCCCTATCTCGCTCTATGATTTTTGCCCGGTTGAGCCGCCATTTTGAATGCTCATGAGTGTCACGCGCGTGCATTATAGAAAACATTAGAGTCAGCAATCTAGGTCTCCTATATCTATGGTTTGCACCCATATGAATATTTTTGGTAGGTCATGTGGTTGTCATAGCAACACACTAGTCCCCAGTCTCTTCTCTTCTTTTTCACAAATTCCCTCCTGTACACCTCTTGCAGAGGATGTTTGCATGTTATAACGGTTTAAACTGATCACAACACCTAAAGGTATTATATAGTAATAAGCAATAATTGCAGAAATTGCTATTTATTTCATTAGAAATGGATCATATAGAAATTGGAAGAGAAGGGACTGGGGATGAGTGTGTTGCCATAACAACCATATAAATAAGCCAAATTGTTCAATTTGTTGTACCCACTTAGTGTGCCAAGTTTCATTGAATTATATTAAACCATCACCAAGATATCAGATTTTCTTTTTATTGCCGCTATTTGAAGTCAACCTAATGACGTCAAAACTCAAAATATAGAAAGAGCGATAACTTGGAAATGAGATGAGATACAAATAAACTGTACAGGTCATTCTTCATCATTTGAGCAGTACCTTTCAATAAAACAATAAAAATGAGGCAAAAATTTCATTTCATAAGGCCTATTTACACTTGCAATTTTTACTGCAATTTTAAATGCAATTTTTTCTGCTGACGTGATGGCGACATGAAATCGCCAGTGTAAACATCCTGCGATTTAACTGCAATTCCAGTGCAATTCAAGAAGTGCAACAAGGTGCGATATTTTCGAAATTTATCGCACTTCGCTGCGATTTTTGCAATAAAATTAGGCAAAATCTGACTCTGCCACCCCTGCATAGTTGTCTTTGGCGAACTATGAGCTGTTGGATTATTTTATATTATGTTAGATTATAGCAACTAGCAGGGATGAGTAAATTATCAGTTTTTCTTGTACAATTGACCGTTGTATAGTATAACGCTATTGCGGGATTTTATGTCTCAATTATTCAACATCGATTTGTGATTCCTCTTTAGTTTCCCACTAGCATATGGATGGTTCAAACTTTTTGGGGGTGGTGATTTTTAAGTGTGATATATTTCTCTTAAAAACTTGAGGACGCAATAAATGTTGTTGTTGAAATATAATATCCTTTCATATAAAGACTCAGACTCCTGTTGAATATTCTCTCAATATATAAACGAAAATATGTACTTATCATATTGTACTTCTGTACACATTTTTCTCTCTGTTCCTCGCATATTATTTGAATACACTACTTACTAGTTGCAAATGGTTTATCAGTCATTGTGTATTTGCGTTTCATAATATTTTGTTTCATGGCAGGGGCCTATATTAATGATAATGGCGAGCGCGAATTCATCACGCAAAAAACGCGTTGGACTTGCCGACTTACAAGACACCGTTAATGTCGGTCACTAATATGTAGATTTTGTCCAGAGTACAGCCAACTTTGCACCTACAATTAGATTTGTAAGCATTGTAATCTGGAACGATCGTTTTAGTGCAAATTGTATTGATATTGTGCGAGACATTGTTGTATTCACAGCAATATTTTCATATTAGTGGCATAATCTTTAAGTTCCTAATTACCACATTGCAGTATAAGAGTAAAAGGTTCCGTGATAATATTTTTGTACATATCCATGAATGTTTAGTAAGTCGGCAAGCCGTGTTTAAAAACATTAAGTTAATTTCCATTATCACCGCCTATATCTTGTCACATGACCAGTTTCCATGGAAACCAAATAGTTGAAAAATATCGGCAGTTGATTTCCAACATCTCACCCAAAAATAAGAGTCGTAGTGTACTTTGTTAATTTTTAATTAATTTTTAAAGATTTTTTCTATTTTCCCACTCCTTACAAAATTGGAGCCAGGCATTAATGCACCTGAGCTTAAAACATTGTAAACAAGGCAATATGTGTGTTATCAACTTTTATCCAATGGCCCATACATCCGGTACAAGGCCGATATATAGCCCATACGTCAAATGATACCAGCAATGGTGTTCATCGATGTTCGGCATTATGCCTTCGTAACATTCCTTTACAGAAAAGTGGCAATGTTTCTGAAGTCGTTGCTATAATATTGGGTGCCAGAAGCTGTATCGACAAACCTTTATGGAATAATAGCTTCCTGAAATTAGATGATAGTTCGCTCCCAAATAATATCTCATGTTTAAGACATCCCATGCTTCTTACCTAAGAAGAGTTCTCTTATTCATTGGTTAATGGGGAAACATATTGACCTTCGTCTTATTGGCATAACCACATTAGCCAATGCTGCAGCCACCCCTGTATGGCTTCAGGGTACAAAAAAACCATGATGGTATATTCTGAGCACACGTAGGACAACCCCCCAAATACATTGTCTGAAAAAATAATAGAGAAAGAAATCATGACTGACAGCATCCAGAAAATGGTAGCATCTAATAGAAAAGGAACAATTGCTTCAATTAAGAAGACATTGTCTGAAGAAAACATTAAAGATGAAATCAACAATGATAACACTTAGAATCACATGTCGGACAAAAAAGAAGCAATTGAGACAAACAACGAGACATGGCCTAAAGAAAGATTTAAAGAAACAGTCAATAATGTCCAGACAGACACAACGTCAGACAGAAAAGAAGCAACTGAGACAAACAACGAGACATTGTCTGAAGAAGAAATTAAAGAAACAATCGATAACATGCAGAATGACATAACGTCACACAGAAAAGAAGCAACTGAGACAAACAACGAGACATTGTCTGAAGAGGAAATTAAAGAAACATTAGGTCAAATTAGGACATCCCCTCTTCCTCATTTTAGGGGGCATTTTTATGAAGTCATATTCTGACTTTGGAGAGTGGCTACATTCTGTTGAACCATCTGCAGGTTTACTGACTTCCACAACCTGTGGACAATCGCTTACCTTAGTTGAGGCAGGAGCTGACTCGGGAAGATCTTCATGAAACTTAAAGGATATGAGCAACAAAAAAATTTATTGCTTCATCTGAAAGAGCATGAAAAAATAAGCTGATTGGCCATTTAATGCTCTATTCTATCTCATCTGGTTCCGAAGTTATACGCAAAAATGTGCAAAATATAAATTGCTGATTCAGCACAACGTGTGACGTCATTAGCTGGGTAAGTATGTTTATTGACTATGAACCTTAGGACAGAAAAAAACTCATGGAAGAATTGCACCAGACTTGCGTATTTGGGGCGAACAGATTTGATTTTGCTGAAGGTACATTCCAAACGGTTGTTCATAGTTTCTCCAAGGTTAAGGTCGTTATCTTTATAGCAAGAGACCCACTGCTCCTTTATAGGTAGCCAGTTTATTTCTATCATAGATATCTTATATACACTAGATAGCTCATCTCCTTTAGTGAAATTAAAGCCAAGAATATTCCAGCGGTTACCCCCATTTGAATAGATGGCAGCCATGTTGAAGTTTCCCACTTGCTAATAAATGCTTAAAAAACAACAATAACTTTCATAATTTAAATAGTTTAAAAATATATTTGGAATAAGTTTAACTTAATGTTTAAGTATAGAAAACATACCAATCTTCTCATTTCATGGGAATACCTTGAGCCTGCAATCACGGCTTCAATTTTTTAATTGCACAATAATTAGATACACTATCTAGTGTATATAAGATATCTATGATTTCTATGTATTCTTTCACACTCTTACTGGCATTATTCAGTGCTTGCAAGTGACATTCATATGAAGATCTCCGGAGATTTTGAATATGCCAATTGTGTTAAGATTTCTAAGCAACGATATAACTTTCTGCTGATGATATACCCATTTTTTTGCATGTCACTTCTCTGCAAAATGATCTGAGGGTGTGGAACAAGCATGCTGTACATTCAGAGATGCACCTGGGAAACATTTCGCAAAATCTTTTGTGAAATCCTTATCTGGCATAATAACTTGTGTATCCTTCCAATTCGAATTGAATTTCTGAAACAATTGAACGGCCGGCCGCCTCAATAACTTCTTTTGTTTCCTCAACAAGTATAGGTGGTTATTCCCCTTCAGAACAATTTTTTTCATTTTACAAGATAAAAACGTTGCAAAAACATTTTTTTAAGGGGCACAGTGATTGAAATAAAAAAATAAAAAAATTTTTTTGGTTACTCATTAATTACACTAATTATCCAATATGGCCGCCCACTAATTAGCCAAAAAATGGCGTCACATGAAACATGATACCGCAGACACAATTAAGCAGAATAACATAAATGACATATATTTGGAAAGCTTATAACAAGATCTAGTGGCTGACCATCTTTATTTTTACTTTTAAACAATTTTACAAAAAAAATTTGTAAACAATCTAAATATTAGGAAAAAAGGCTTTTTTCATGCCTAATTAGGTAATTAAACTTCATTTATGCATCTCTAATGAAATATATTGAAAATAAAAAATGGTCAGGCACTAGATTATGTTAATAGCCATAAATATACCAAGTTTCAACCTCTTGCAATAAATATTCAGAAAATTATGCTACCACAAAAATGTAATATACCAACAAAACTGATAAATTGAGAAAATGGTGTTTTAAAGTTGTTTTTTTATTATTATGTTGTCTAGAATGCACCTGCTTCATAGGTAACACCTTCTTTGTCTTCAAGATTGTCAACATAGTGTTTCCTTTGGTGCCTCAATAATTTCCTTCTCTTCTTCACTTCCTCTGTGCTCTTCTTTCCTGACAATTTAATTCTTGAATCGTCGCAATCTTCAGCGCCTTTACCAGTAAACACACCAGGAGTTATATCCAGGTCAGAAAATAACTTCAACAAAGAAATGTCACCATCATTAAATTTTAAGATGGCCAGGTAGGTGGCAAGAGCCACAGTTTCTTGCTCTACATAAATAGTCTTTGGACATCTATCCCAGATCA